ACTCGATGGTATCGAGGCAATTCGGTCGGTGCCTAAAAAGTATCGAACTCGATAACCAGCCCTAGTGGTAACATACAGTATTGAGCCATAAAATTACATGATTTACAGTTCAGATACAGGTTTTCACAGAAACAAAAATCTTATACAACAGCACTTTATATAGCAAATTCATTCTCTGCCACGAGGTGGCGCTTTAGGAGCGCTGAAAAATCGCGGTTTCCACCGGTAACGGCTGTACACAAAGCAGCTCCGCGCTCATAAACGCCGCTTTATCAGGAATTATAGGTAAAATTCAAATGCCAATGACACGTTTCTGAGGACAGTCCGTTCCCTTCAGATACATTCAAATAAAGACATCCGCGCCGCGTTTTGACTTGAAACGTGCAGCGCTCATATTTATTCAATGACATCATTGCCTTTTGAAGTTTAATCCAGCCGTATCGCGACTCTTGTCTTTCCGTCCCCAACTGTAAGACCTCTTGAAATTATAATTAAGACATTTCTTATACCATTTAACATATTTAAAACTTTTTATGGCCTTAAGTTTGATACAACTCACTTTAGGAGATTTTAAGGACCCGCGGGAGATCTGCATTTAAGATAGCCTGTCGGGCAGAGTGGTGATACATTTTGGTAGCCCGACTGGAAAACACAATAGCCCGGGGACATCGGGCTAGCCATTTCACGAGCCCTGTATTCAGTAATTAAATTACTTTTCAGACAGAGTAATTAGAAAAGTAATTTAAATACAATATTGATTATGTAATTAGTAATTAATTACTGTTTGAAAGTAACTTACCCAACACTGCTGAGCATGTTTTTCTTTGGAATAATGTCACTGAACATGATTTAGGACTCTTACCTTTGATCCCCTAAAGCTGCTTTGATGGCCTGTCTCTTCAGGAACGTCTGGAGGAGCTTCTCATTGGTCTGTTTGGACTCACGGCTCATTTCCTCCCTCCGCTGTCTCCTGATGGCCTGAGGATGTTCAGGATGTTGAAGCATCATTCCCTGTTCCACGCTCATGTTTTACATGCATATATAATGCTGCTAAAGCTCACCAGCGTCTGTTTCTTAAGCAGCGGTGCGTCTCCATCGTACACAAACACGGGTCTGATGCGGAAGAACAGCAGCTTGCAGAGCCGATGGAAGAGCGTGAGGAGATGGGCGTTCTGAACCGCATTCCCATCGCGATCCCGCACACCTTTGACCGCCTGATTCAGCCAGATACTGATATCTATGACGAGTGAGTCATGGATCCAAACAGCCAAATTTATACAAACCCTATTGTTTACTCACAGAATGGTTTTCATTAAAAGAGTAAATCCTGCAATAAAGGATACCAACAGCTAAGATCTTCCCCTCTAGTGTTTCTGGATTGATGGGTTTTCTGGTGCTCTCCAAGAGTTTCCACAGTCCATGAACTCCCATCACTCTTGCTCACATCTGCAAAAAACATGATCAACTCACTCATTTTTTACTTCTACACAATGTAAAGCAGAACCATGACAAGAAAGGCCTATTTCCACCACATAAGAAAAAAATGCTTCTGTAAACTGTATTTATGAGAATAAAAGTCAAAATTCTCAGAAAAAGCAGCAGTTATGAGAAAAATAGCCAAAATTTAAAAAAAGTAAAAATTCTGAGAAAAATGCAAAATTATAAGGTAAAGTCAAAATGATGAGAAAAGGTTACAATAAAAAGATAAATATCTAAATCATGAGATTAAAAAGTCATAATTATGAGGAAAAGTCTAAATAATGAAATAATGAGATTAAAATGGTCAAATTTATGAGAAGAAGAAGAAGAAGAAGAAGAAGAAGAAGAAGGTGTGACCCCACAACCTTTGGGTTACAAGTCCGACTCTCTAACCATTAGGCACGATTGCCCCTTATGATTTTATTTATCTAACACACATACTCAGTCTATATTTCAATTTGCACATAATATACCTGTACATACAACTGTCTATTGTTCTATACCTGGACATACAATTGTCGATTGTCGATTTGTATATTTTTTATTCCTTATTTTACTTGTTCTATTTTTTATTTATTTTTATTTTTTATTATCTGTGTTTTTTTGTTCTGTCACTGTCATTCTGTTACACTGTGGAAGCTTCTGTCACGAAAACAAATTCCTCGTACGTGTAAACATACCTGGCAATAAAGCTCATTCTGATTCTGATTCTGATGATTTACGATCTTATGATTTACCAAAGCATGATTTTCTCTTGTGTGGCGGAAACGGTATTCCATACGACAGAGATTCGAATAGAGCAGAGTAAACTCTATGCAGGCTACTCAAGCAGAAATACACACAAATACATCAACAATACAATGATAATAAATCTATTATTTGTGATTAAAATGAGTTAACAGTTAATATTGCAACAGAACGTTTCTGCGTATTGATGTTTCTAATAAGCTTATTTAACTGTAATATGCTTAAGAACAGTTGTTTAAATATTTTATAAAAATCTCCCACAGACCTGCTCACAGAATCAGAACCATAACAACCGGTTGACGCGTTCGGGCGAGTCCCCGGAAACACGTACCGAACACAATAGTTCCGCCGCCAGTGTTGCCAGATTGGGCGGTTTTGAATTTGACTGTGCGGATAAAAATTGGTTTGGGCGGGTGGACAAATTTTGGGCTGGTTTGGGGTCGGTTTGGCGGTTTTCAAACATCTAAATAGTATAGGCTAATTGGTTAACAAACAAACCCCAAGTGTCCATGTACTGCATCCAATCAGTTACTTTCATGGCGTTACTAAACACACGGCCACTGCAGATTCGGCGGATGCTGATGTTGACGTCGCCCGCCGCACTTTAGCCAATCATAGGGATCCGTCCGATCCGTCAGTCAGAGTTGAGGGGGTTTAGCGCAAAAAGGAATCAGATTTTGAATGTATAGCTGTATATTCAAGTGATCACTATGCCAGAGTGGCCTAAAATAATTGCACGGTAAAGAGTGGGAGAGTGACTCGACTCTCAAAACTTGAATTACTCCTGTGGAGGAAGATGACAAGAAGGCTCTAATATTTGTAACTCTAAAATCAGAGCACAGTTAAATAATTTAATCAAAATCGAAACTGAAAATGAGACTGCCAAGTTCTGTGTTATGTTCTACAATATGTACTTCACGAAAGACTTCCTCTAGTTCTGATTAGCCTCGTACAATATGTATCGAAGAATGACACAGTTTTGACTGTCATGGTGTGTTCATGAACGAGTGTGAAAATACCTTCTAATTACGTTGCTTATTCCGATCACTTTTGTTGGGAACTTTTTTTAATTTAAATTGTCTTATTCTGACTGTTTACATTGAAAATATGGAAATCATCCTTGCAATCTGGCAACACTGTCCGCCCGCGATCAGCTGCTTCCGGTTTCAACATGGTGCTTGTGAGCTCGACGCTCTGAGGTACGTGGCAAAATTAATTATGAAACAGTAATCCTAACACTAATCCTTTAGTAAGTTCATTAATATCGTCATTATTTTGTGAGATTTAGAATTTTACATGACATCACCGGTTTTATTATCTAGAAGCAAGCGTTTGCTGTGTTACGCAAACTAACCACAAACCAGATAAACGAACACAGATAAACAGCGCAAAGGTCGAAATTCTCTTTATCAGCACGTGTTTATGTTTTGAGAAACAGTCTCTATACATTTCTGTGCATAGACGTCTTTTCATTCCGCAGGTAAGTTAACTAGTTGTGTTGACTAACTAATGTAAACAGTCCATATTGTATAACAAAGATGAGTTCATCAGGTTTGATCCAGTCAGGACAATAAACTATTTTAACTTGATTAATCCTGATTAATTAATGGTTATTTGTTTTTACTAGTCTGTTGATTTGTTACAGTCACATTTTGATTCAAACTACTCAGAGGTCGTCTAACACTACTATGCTAGTAAACAATAAAATAGTCAACGTGTTAATGCTGTTGCAACTTGAAATTTCATTTAAAAATATACAATTTTGGCATGTGTTTATTAAAATATAATTGTTCTGCTCAGGAGTCATCTAGACTGTTGCATCATAAGATTTTAATAAAAATATACATTTTTGTATAACAATTTGCATAAAATATAACATTCGTTTATTAACATATTTTCTGTGCAGGAGTATCTAGACTTTTGCCTCATAAAATTGTAATATAATTTTTAATATAATCTAAATATAAGTTTTGTGCACAATTAGCATAAAAAAGAAAAATATAATTTCTATAAATAAATTCTTAATTAAAATGTTTTTTATGGGCTGTACAGGAGTCACATAAACTGTTGCATCGTAAACTTTTAATTAAAAAAAATGAAACTGTGCATAAATTTGCATAAAATGTCAAATTAGTTTTTTGAAATGTTATTTTTCTATGCATGAGTCATCTAGACTGTTGCAGCATTAAAATAAATAAATAAAAATAAAGTTTACATATAAATTTTAATTGTATTATATAAAATAATTGTTTATTAAAATGTTATTTCCCTGTGTAGAGTTCATCTGTTGCATTATACATTTTTATTTGAAAAACAAATTGTATAGGATTTGCATGAAATATAACATCTGTTAATTAAAATGTGATTTTTTTTACAGGTGGTACCTGTGTCATCTTGACTGGAGATAATAAGGGCCCCTGACTGCAGCCATGTCTGCTGAAGTGATCATCAAAGGTGAGTTCATCCGTCTGTCATTTGCTGATATACAGTTCAGTGACTTCAGTCTGAACATCACACACATGCAGAATACAGTAAATCTCTCTGACGTCTCCTGTCTCAGATGTGTCCGTGGTGGCGGTCCGTGGTCCTGGCGATGGCATGGAGACGGACAAGCCTCCGGTGGCCCCTGAGCTCTCCGCAGAGGCTCCGCTCCTGAAGCTGGGTACTCCGAAGCACAGTCCAAGAGTGGTGGCAGCAGCGGTGCAGTCACCGGGAGTCTTGCACCTGGGGAAGGTGAGCAGAGACGCGTGTATGGAGGTGGAGGCCATGAGGATCGTGGTTCCCCGGGCCGCTATCAGCCGGAGCACTCATGTGGGGCCTCACACTGAGGACAGAGGATCCCCTCAGCATGGGGATGAGCGTCCACCATCACCCTCCTCAGAGCCGCTGGACTACAGGAGCGCATTGGACAAACTGCAGAACTCAGAGCGCCGTCTGCTGCAGGACAAAGAGGGGCTGTCCAACCAGCTCAGGGTCCAGACGGAGGTCAGACACTCGCTTATACTGTGTAATAATCAATATAGAATGGCTTTATGTTTGCCACATACATTTCTGACTGTGTACACACAGTGGATGCATTAGTTTGACTTAAGGCGGGCGTACACGGTGCGATTTTTGCTGTCGTACGAGCTCGCAGGCGATTTTTTTTTATCTCGGGAGAAAATCGCAGATGCTCGCATTGGTCGCGGCTCGTACCGTGTGAGAATAATTACGGGCCGATCCGAGACGTTACGAGCACCTCCCGTCCTCCCGATAATTTTTAAACATGTCAAAAAAAATCGGATGCTGTCGGTTTAAATTCGTGGTGTATGTGCGGTTGAACGAGACGATTTGGCGATCCATCTGAAGTTGACCAATCAGAAGATGACAAAAACCATATAGTCTATAATAATTTTAGTTTAATTATACAGTTCTATTTTTTATTTGTTATTCCGAATGTGCCAAATTTGCCGTTCAGCTTTATGAATGAATATGCCTGTTGTATTTCCGGCAAAACGAGCAGAAATTCAGAAATGGCCACTTTAGTGTGAAGGAGATCCTGTTTCTTGTGTAATGTGATCTATATTACCATTCAAAAGTTGGTTGGGATTGGTTTTAATGTTTTTGAAAGAAGTCTCTTCTGCTCACCAAGGCTGCATTTATTTGATGCAGAAAAATATAGTAAAAACAGTAATATTGTAAAATATTATTACAGTTTAAAATAAATGTTTTCTATGTGAATATATTGTAAAATGTAATTTATTCCTGTTATCAAAGCTGAATTTTTTTTTAGCATCATTAGTTGTGCTGCTTCCTATTTTTGTGGAAACCGTGCTACATTTTATTTTTCAGGATTCTCTGATGAATAGAAAGTTCTAAAGACCAGCGTTTTATTTAAAATAGAAATCTTTTGTAATATTATAAATGTCTTTGATTATTGAATCGTTGTGCATGTTGTTATCCAATAGCATATGTTGATCTGGTCCGGTTTAATCGGGTTTAATGTGTTCTCAGGTGAACCGTGAGCTGAAGAAGCTGCTGGTGGCATCTGTAGGCGATGATCTGCAGTATCACTTTGAGCGTCTCGCACGAGAGAACAACCACTTGATCCTGGAGAACGAGGCGTTGGGACGGAGCCTGTCACACACGGCCGAGCAACTGGAGCGCATGAGCATTCAGTGTGACGTCTGGAGGAGCAAGTTCCTTGCCAGCCGGTAAGACTTAAATCAGAAACATGGGATGCGTTACAAAACGTTGTGCTTTTAAGACCTATTTATTTGTTTTTATGTACATTTTTTAATAATTACTTATTACAGTGGTATTTTTAACATTACTGTTTTTATAATATTTTTCATGTTTTTATATGCATATTATACATAATAGTATGCATAATTAGCTCCCAGCTTAAGAAGTGTGAAGAACACATATGAGGAGAAAATGTTGTTTTTCTTTGATCATATTTTGTATTTCATGGAAAGAGGGTCATGCATGTGTGTTTGTTCCTGTAGTGTGATGGCAGAGGAACTGACCAATGCCAGAGCAGCTCTACTGCGGCAGACCAGAGACGCTCAGTGTGCCATTCAGGATCTGCTGCGAGAACGAGACGAGTTCTCCAGAGAAATGATGCACACACACAGGTGACGGCTTTTCCCTCAGTTCACCTCCAAAAACCAATAAAAACATTTCCTGACTGAAATAAAGTATACAAAATGTTGTTATTTCAGTTATTTGCCAGGCAGCATTTCTAATAAAGTACTAAAATAAGTACAACTAAAACTGAAAAAAGTAATAAAAATGCAATCAATGACACATACATCGTCATCGCATCTCGTGCGCCACTAAGGCTGCCTGACGGCTGACGCAGACCTTAACGTTTTTGCATTCGAATGTGGATTTTTTTTTTTAATTCGACAAATATTCGAAATTCGAATTTTTTTTTACAGCCCTAATAGAGAGGAATAAAACTGAAAAGTTTGGTGTATGTAAGAGAAAAAACTCTTTAAAGATTATGGTTGGAATTTTAAATTACAGTGCAAAATAGACCAAAAAACTGTCCAGTGCATGAAAAAAAATGGCTTTGTCTGTAGTGTCTTGCCTTGATGATACTAAAATAACTCATTTATGTTTAAATCAATGTAAAAATCATGCTAGTGATGAATCTGAGTGTTTCATTCAGCTGACAAAGTAATGCAAATGTAACTTCACATGTTCCTTTCCCTATGATTTGTGTGGCTGGTGTTTTAATGTTTTGCATGTGATGTGCAGGTCTCTGGAGCAGCTGCTGGTGTCTCTGCAGTGGGGTCGGCAGCAGACGTATTATCCCAGTGCTCAGCCACTCAGCACAGGAGAACTGGCCGCAGCCAATCACAAGCTCGCAGATGCCATCAACTCACACCTGCTGGGAAACGTGGGCGGCAGCGGCGCCGTGAAGAATAGCCCGAGATCAGAGCTCTGCAACACACCGGCCGAGAAGATGGCTGAGAAGGTGCATTCTTTCTCTGAGATTCTTCCTCAGATAATGAATTCATTAGAAATGAATTAATTAAAAAGAAGAAATTAATTAGATTTAAAATAAGAAATTAATAATTAGAAATTGATTGATTAATAAGAAATTAATAAGACAATCAATAATTTGATTAAGAAATTGATTCAATAATATGAAATGAATTACAAATTAATAAATGTGACCCTGGACCACAAAACCAGTCATAAGGGTAAATTTTTCGAAATTGAGATTTATACATCATCTAAAAGCTGAATAAACAAGCTTGTTAGGATAGAACAATATTTGGTCGAGACACAACTATTTGAAAATCTGGAATCTGAGAGTGCAAAAAAATCTAAATGCTGAGAAAATCGCCTATAAAGTTGTCCAAATGAAGTTCTTAGCAATGCATAATACTAATCAAAAATTAAGTTTTAATATATTTAAGGTAGGAAATTTACAAAATATCTTCATGGAACATGATCTTAATATCCTAATGATTTTTGGCATAAAAGAAAAATCAATAATTTTGACCCATACAATGTAATTTTGGCTATCGCTACAAATATCCCCCAGCGACTTGAGACTGGTTTTGTGGTCCAGGGTCACAAATAATAATTACATAATTAGAAATTAGAATAATAAGAGAGTAATTAATTAGAAATCACTAATTTGATTAATAATAAGAATTTAGATTATTGTAATAAAATACAGTAATAAGAAATTAATAATTAGAAATTAAATAATAAGAAATTATTAGATTAATGATAAGAAATTAATAGTAAGAAATTATATTATTGTAAGAAAATACAGTAATAAGAAATAAATAATTAGAAATTAAATAATAATTAATTAAAAATATATATTATTAAAAATAATAATTAAGATAATAAATAATAATAAGTGTTAATTAGATTAATAATAAGAAATAACTAGAGTAATAATTAGAATAATAGGAAATTAATAAGAAATAAGAATAATATTGTTTATATTATAATTATGTTAATAAATATTTTAGTATAATATTTATCAGCTTGTAACACTCCAAAGAGAAAGGAAAACTTGAAATCGCATCATATGACCCCTTTAATAATAATTCCGTTTATTGAGAAAGCATTTCCAGGTCATTGCAGAAACTTGTTTTTGCCATTGAAAGCCTTCATGATTCATCTTCTTCAGGTGCTGCGGAGTTTAGACCCCATATCCTGCTCTGAGAAGGAGCCAGACCCGTCCACGTCTGACTCTGTTCATTCCCCGTTCCTGCCCAGTAAGAAGAGCATCGGCCGCTTCCACCCATACACACGCTATGAGAACATCACCTTCAACTGCTGCGAGCGCTGTAACGGAGAGCTCATCGTGCTCTAGACCATCATGACTCCAGATCAACACGTGCACCTTCAGTCAGTATTATGAGCGTTTCCTTCCGTTTGTGCTTCACGCCTGTTCTCATGAAAATACCAAAGAAAAATCTCACAAACTCCGCAGCAGATGCAGCGATGAAGCTTTGATCTGCACAGATGATCTCACCGATCGTCTCTGTATGTGATTTCCTGTGTTTAAACGTCAGGCTCAGTTGTGGAGGATGGTGGCGCACACACTTGTTTGAGGTTTCTTAGACTGGACAGATTGATTTAATGGAGTAAATCTGTCATCGGTTATTCACCCTCCTCATGTTTCACACCTGCATGATTATATTTATTCACTCAAAAGTTTAAAAAAGTTTAATAAGAAGAAATTAGTATAGTTAGAAATAATTTGATTAATAAGAAGAAATTAATAAAAAATTATTAATAAGAAATTAAAATCTAGATTATTTAGAAATTAATAATTTGATTAATTCGGGGGGGAAAAAGATAAGAAATGAATAAAACAATAATTAGATTAGTAAGAAATTAGAATAAGAAATGAATAATTGGTAATTAATTAATATGAAATTAATTCTTAGATTAATAATGAGAAATTCATAAATTAGAAATGAATTCATAATAAGAAAATAATAATCCAATTAAGAAGAAATTGGAATGGTAAGAAATTAATAATTAGAAATGTTTTTACATACAGTGAAAGTAAATCAGATCCAAAATGTCAAAAAAGCACCTTGAAAGTGTAATATGTGTGCAGTATTCCACATCTGAAAAGAAGCATCCTGCTAAACAGCCCATGTTTGAAGTCATACGTGTGTGTGTGAGACAGCATGAGGATGAGAAAATGATGAGCTGCTGATGTAGATTTTAAAATGTTCTGTATGTGTTTATGGCTTTTGTTCTGTAAAAACAGACAGAGAGGTATGAGCTTAGTGTGTAGGATTCATTTATATAATGCAGTGAATGATGCTGCTGCTCTGTGATGTCTGTATTTACCTTGTATTTTCATATTTCATTAATATTCTCTAGGCAGACATTTAAGTGTTTTCCTGGACCACAGTGTATATAGTGTTTTTAAAGCATTTCAAGAATATTTGCTCTATATTATCTCTCTCTTAAATTACCAAAATAAACAGTTTGGAGTGAAACCTTTTTCTTTTTTTGTTTCCCCCCGTCGATTCCCCAAGATCATTTTCACTTTCCCTACCAGTTTAAAATAGTAAAACGTCATAGACAGAGCTGAAACTGATGCCATCATGAATTTCATGAAACCCTGAACAGAACATTTCCAGCTCTATTTGCGGCCCAAAATGAAAAAAAATGGAAATTAGAATTTACTTAAAGAAAATAAATCCTGTTTTTTTTTTTTTGCACTGTGGCAATATATTCAAGACACTTTATTGAGAACTATTTATAAATCGTGGTTATATTTGTTGTGCTGCCTTTAGTTTATGCTGTATTATCATCAATGTATTACAAGAATGAGATGGTGTTTTCTGCAAACGTGATTAAAAATGGTGTTTAACTGTCATAAAAATTATCTAAAAATCCTTATGTTCATAAATCAGGCCTGAATGAGAATTTAGTGTGAAAATGTACGTTTTACAAGAAAATACTATTTCAGTCGTCTTAAACAGTCATCTGAAATCATAATTTTTATTGATCAGTATCAACAAAATGATACAGTATTAATCACGATCCTCCCACCATTTTTTTGGTTCTTGTTGTTTTTTGTGTCCATCTGTTTTGTTCTTCCTGTGGCTCTGAACTAGAGCGGGGACGTGGATCTCTGATGAATCGTTCCGGATGAAGCGACTCTTTGTGGTTCTCGTGACTCCTCTGCTCTGCTGGTGGAAGCCACCGTGTTTCCTCTTGGGCACAAACTCCAGCGCCTTCTGCCAGCTTCCCGTGTCCTTCCGCGTGCTCAGGATGCGGATCATCTGATCCAGGGTTAGATTCTTGGCTCCACAGTCCCAGTCCAGATACTCATCCAGCGGGAGTCGCGCCGTGGCCAGTTTGAGGCGTTTGGCATTGGCCAGAGAAACGCCCGAGTGAATGGAGCGATCCACCATGGCGCCAATGATGTACACCTTACTGTGATCGAACGTGTGCAGGACGTGCTGGGAATCGGCTGTCAGGTACACCAGGTCCTGCTGAGGAAACAGCTCCACATGACTGCGCTCAGTGGCTGTGATCAGCAGCTGGTCCCACGTGTGCGATCCATAGCGATTGAGGAGCTCACGGTGATATGCACTGTCCGGCTGCAGGCCGCAGAAGTGCAGGTGGAACGGGTCTGCGGCGCGGCGGTTCCAGCCTTCGCTCTCCATCAGCTGCGCAACGGTGTTCTCCATCTCTCTGCGGCTCATGTGCTGGTTGTAGCTCATGTCATACACCAGTGGCTGGCCGAAGCGCATGGCCTGCGCCACTCGCCAGCTGTGAAGGCAATCCATGGAGCTGCTCCAGATCTTCAGCAGGAAGCTGTTCTTGGGTTCCTCTCGATTAAATTCTCCGTCCGCTTCCCTCTCAGATTTCCTCCTCTCCTGTTTCTCCTTCTTGGTGATCTTGTATGACTCCTTAATAGCGAGAAACTTCAGGTATTTCTTCTTGGCAGACTTGGTGGTCAGTTCAGTGAGAGCTTCCAGCTGCTCGTCTGTGATGTTCTTGGGAACGAACTTCCCCGCCTGATGCCACATCTCCACCAGCTCACGGTTGGCTTCCAGCGTTGACTGATTCGGGCTTTTGCTCTCCTCCTGCAGCGCTTGAGATCTCATCACTGACTTCCACACATCCAAATCGAGAGCGTTTTCTGCTGCGTTTTTCCTGGCGGTCCAGCTGGCGCTGAAGGGCCTGATTGTGATGCGTGGCTTTCTGAAGCAGCTGCATCTCACGGCCAGTGAACACGAGCGCAGGAACATCATCACAACAATGTCTGGATCACCTACAAAAAAACAAACAGCAGGGCCATGATTGAGTTATGATACAGGACTAGTTAGTCACACTCTTACTGCAGTGAATATTTCTCAGCATGTGTTTATGGTTATATTTTATTAAATAGCTTTATGCTTAATTTGTCACAATTTATAGGTAGTATATAATTTATAAGTATATAATATATATTGTTTTTTAAATTATATTATGATACTTTCAAATGATTTTTTAAAATGGACAATTTATATAATTTTTATATTATGTACTACACACACACACATATATATATACATATACACATATATATACACATATATATATATATATACACACACACACACACACTGATGAGTCATTACATTATGACCAACTATCTAATGGTGCTTTTCCACTGCATGGTACGGCACGGCTCGCTCTTATAAACCTGTAGGACCTCTGGTACCATAATGTCACCAGCAGGTCCTCCAGTTCCCATACATTGCGGAGTGATGGTGATGTAGTGCAAACCTGCTTTTCGATTGGGTTCATGTCAGGTGAATTTGGAGGCCAAGTCATTAACAGAAATTCACCATCATGTTCCTCAAACCACTCCTTGACGATTCTGGCAGTGTGGCATGGCACATTATCCTGTTGGTAATGGCCATCACCGGCAACAAACACAGTTGCCATGAATGGGTGCACTTGGTCTGCAATGATGTTCAGATACCTAACAGCTGTCAGGGATTGTGCCATTGGGGTAATAGGGCCTAAAGTTTATCAAGAAAACATCGCCCACAGCATAACACCGCCACTGCTGGCCTGTGTCCGCCCAAAAGTGCATCCAGGTACCATAACCTCTGTTGGTAATCGGTGTATCCGCACTCGGCCATTGACGTGATGCACCAGGAATCTTGATTCGTTAGACCAGGCCACTTTCTTCCAATCATCCACACTCCAATCTTGATGATCTTGAGCCCATTTAATGCTTTGTTGAGGGAGCATGGGGATTCGGCTGGGTTGTTGGCTACGCAGGCCCATATACAGAAGGCTGCAGTGAACTGTGTGCTGTGACACACTGCCCTGGTCACCACTGTTGTAGCTGCTGGTGATTTGTCACACGGTGGCCTTGCAGTCACTGTGAACAATGTGCGACAGTTTCCGCTCCTCTCTGGCAACAATAAGCTGTGGACGACACATGGTTGGACGGCGGTTCGTCGTTTGGATATCCATGCACCACTTTTGATACATACTCACTACAGTGGCACGTGAACAACCCACAAGGCGCACTGTTTCTGAGATCGAAATTCTGAGGCACCGTGCCATCAATTCGTCCTTTATCAAACTCCCACAAATCAGCAGCTTTTCCCATTCTGACACCAAACACTCTACTGACCGAAAGCCAGTCCTCGGGTGATATATATACTGCTCTGTGAACTGCACCAGCGGCACCATTCGGTTGCCAAACATGCTCATTGGTCCTAACATAATGGGGGTGGTCATAATATAATGGCTCATCAGTGTGTGTGTATATATATAATAATAATAATATTCAATGGGAATTTCAGACAATTTCCCCTCCAATCAACCATATGAAACGGACACAAACAATACATTTTTGGTTACAGTAAAAGATTCTGAACATTTCCTTTTTGCCAGGAAAAAATACAGTTCATACAGTGGAATGTTGTCATATTGTGTGGTAAGTTGTCACTGTCAACCTGCAATTAATGGAACAGCTAATTTTAAAGACTAAATATTAGCTATATATATACTATTATGAAACAGCAAACATGTTAACGGTATCACAAAAACAATGTTTGACCCAAATGAAGGTCTAATTTTAGTTTGAGGGGCAAAATTCACAAACACACACACACAATTGCAAGATAGGGCTGATATACGTTTGAAATTATAACAATTAACTCTGCCAGAAAAAACAAGTAGGCCTATTTATGACTCAAACCTGATAATTACAGATAGTGGTTCTTCTCAATTCCAGTCCTGGGGACTCACTGTTTGCACATTTTGTATGCCTCTCTTATCTGACACAATCAATTCAGTTCACAAAGCTCTGATCTGAATCAGGTGTGTTAAATAAGGGAGACATGCAAAAAATGTGCAGAACAGGGGGTCCACAGGACTGGAATTCAGAACCAGTGGTTACAGAGATATAACAGAACTGTGACAACTAGCCCCGGTCTCCTCTACATCTGTAATCACATTCACACACATTAAAGTAACATCAATATACCATGTCAGATATATTTCTGTATCTTCACTCGGAAGTCACTGGACCCTCAAAAGGACACACGCTGCCTAATGTCATGTGGATGTCGGTGTGCAACAATAAAAGCTGACCGTGCGGAAAGCTGCATTCGTTTATTAAATGAGCTGTCTGTAACTTAATTGAATATTTAAAAAAAGATGTTTGAATGCGCAAATGTGCTAATATTTGTTAA